GTTCGTTTAGCGTTAATGGAACAGCGGGAAAATTTCCATTAAGGGTCACTGTATTGTCTTACATTATATTGAAAACGACGTGTTCAGAAATGCAAATGTTTACAGAAACCACGAGGAACCCAATGGAGCAAGACTTTTTCCACATTCCGGAGATTAACATAATTCCCGTGGAACAATAGGAGACGCCAGAAGGTCCCTTAATGGTCGCCTTCCAGCGCTAAATGGCGTTGCCCGAGAAATGCGACGGTTTGCATTTAAAGAAACACGCGGCTGGAGAAGCAGGGCGTTTCGAGAAATTGTAATAAGGGATTCTCCTCGCGGTTGTTCGTGTTTCTTTTTGATCCGAGAAGTTTCCGAGCCGGTGCATTACAAGGGAACAGGGATGGTCAGAAGTGGGCGGAAAATCTTAAGTGCCACGAGACAATCTCAAAGAACCGCCTTCGAATCCGCCAAAATGCATCATCGAGTCTAATTAATGTAATCGTCGAAGCACACCCCGGACGTTCCGAGCTATTTACTTGTTGCCAGGGTACGATTAAAAATTCAATTCTCCCTCGGGGTAACAGGTTACGAACCTTGACCTTCGTTGCTCGCTTCTTGGAGGAAGATTACTCGAAGTACTCCATTAAGGGCCTCGGATTATTGTGACCACTTTGGGACCAACGACGAGTTAACCGGGAAATAATTTATGCTGATGTTCATTATACTTGAAATGAGAACCACGTAAAGTGAAGAATAAAACTGAATCAAAGTTCTTTAAGATTTTGAGCTGTATAGTTTCTACGTGACTTTCATAAAGTTGAAAATTTGATTTTTCTTTTCTAAAATAAAATGTCTCAAAACCTAAACGGCAGATCAAAGGAATTCTACAAAAATCATCCAGAAAATGTTGCAGAAAAGATTCTCGTAAGACAGTAATACAATACACATTGTGCAACGTGTTCGTGAAAATAAATATACCCCTAAAGAATCCGTATCCTAAACAATAAATCAGCGTAACTAAGCTTTCCGGGAAGCGTGGGCAGTCTACGTAACTTGACGAGAACAGCTCGCGAAACTTTCCCGGCTGTTTTGTATAATTAAGCCCGCATTATACGAAACACCGCGTACAATTTGAGCGAACATACTCGACGAAGCGGCTCCCTGAAGTCTATTTCCGAAAACACGTTCCGTTTAGAAACACGAACGGGCGCAACAAACTACTTTCATCCGTATCTACCGGGCCGTGATTCAACATCTCTCAGAGATATTACTCGAAAATTGTAGGCAACGCGTGAAACCCCGCTCGTGTTACACCATCGTTTCCGAGTTTCGGATTTCTCTTAATAGCCGTTTTGACGTAAGCCCGTCTAAAGCCCCCCAAAACGCCTCGTGCGTATTTAAAGACACTTTGACGCACATGGTTCTGTATCTTTTAAATGTCGCCAGTGGGCGGAGTACGCTAAGTGTTCGTCGAACGGAGATGATTTCAGGCGGCTGCGTTAACGGGCTTTTTTTTCTCCTTCTCTACGCATGAATTTTGCCGTACAATACGCGGTCTGTTCCTCGGAACCACGGAAAGATAAAACAGCCTCGTGAGCAACCCTTATCGCGCCACGCGGATGATACGTGCCGCTCGTACCGTGGCCACTTACGAGACCTACGGCAGGAATCATCCGCGCGTACACGCGTGGCTGGCACAGAGTCTGCTATATTCCGGCGCTCGTCTCCTTCTTTGTTCGATAAAGAAGAAAACGGGGGACGAGCGAAGGCACTCGTAAATTTCTGACAATCACAGAGCCACCGTGAAATCCCCCGTAGTCGGAGATACGCCGAGGATTCAACAACCTTAATCGCAAACAATGGGAGAACAGCGATTATGCTGAGATGAGAGACCCTCGCGTCCTCCTCCTACTCCTACTACTCTTCATCCTGTTTTTTACTGCTCACAGCGACGCCCTGGATCAACTTTCAGGAAAATACTTTTCGCTGTCGAAACGTTGGATTTTCTTTTTTGCTTAATTTCGGTGCCGAATTACAACTGTCTGGAAGTAGGCTAATCAGCAATTGTGACTGGTGATAGTGGGACGCGCGTGAAGGAAATATTCATCAGCGTACCGTCAGGAATAAAATATTGAACAGTAAGAAATACGTTGGTCGGCTTGTAGCTTGTAGTTGCAATCAAAAATATAACTGATGTAAAGAATTTTATGTACATTGTTGATTTATGAAAATATATTTTGTATGATTCAGTCCTCGATGTTTGCACAGGAAAGTGCTGTAGATTTTTGTAGAGACGTGATCTCTGAGCAGCTTTTCAATGATGTTATCCTTTCCCAGTGTTTCTGTATGGTTATATGCTTAGCTTCGAAAGTACAGTAACTGTACAAGGAAAAATGGGGCCGTTTTCCTCGTTCGACGATAAGTAGCACCACTTCCTTTGTAGAAACTATTCATGTAATCAATTGTAGGATCCGATACAACGAAAGCCTATTATTTAAAGGAATCACGGCGAGGAAAAATTGGGTCACCTTTCTGGCATAAGAACGGATCTGCATTCAACATTCAACACACTTATCTATTTGGGGCAGGGCTGAACGATTTAACGAGTCAATAGCAGAAGTTTAAAGCCCATTAAGCGTGAATACACGGAACCGTTCTGAACCATGTGATCTAAACCAGGCGCATACGAGTATTTCCGGGTGAATAAATTGAAAATAAAAACTTTCTCTCGACTCCGCATGATAAATGAATAATAAACATACAGAGCGATTCGATTCGAGTCGTGAATCAGTTTTCGTTCAAATACAATTAGAAAATAACGCAAGCAAAAGATGATTGATCGCAAAGAAAAAACAATTAACTAAGAAAGCTTGATTTCCTATAGTATTCTCATTCAGTGAAATCGTACATTCAGGAACAGTAATTACATCATTCCGCCCACCGTTCGATTTTTATCGTTAGTCATTTAAAAACAAGGAAATATTTCAGATCTCTCCAATTTTCAAATCGTCCTACGCGCGCACTAACATTTCCAATTCAAACTAAACCGCCTAAATTAACGGACATAAGTATACACACAACGAAAATATTAAACTTTATAATAATAAATAAACCCCCTATTTTGAAAGTGGCTTAAGTCTATTTAAAAAAAATCAAGTTACTCGTTAGAATACTTACAATTCTACATAATCTTTATATTCTTTAATAATTCTTTAATTTTTCTTAAGTGGACTTAAGTCACTTTCAAAATAAACGGTTCAAATATAAAATGTTCTCCAAATTAATAATACAGTCTACACAAGAATCTCTTCAACATTTAATCAGACAATAGTCATTCGTAAACATGATAGACACCCCCGGCTCGTAACCGCAACCCTAACCTTCCCAGATGCGCGCGCCGCTGACGCACTTTTTAAATTCGACTCCGTCGAAAAATGTTCGTTCGGCGGTCGTCGTTCATTTTTGTCTACAAAGAGAATCCGATACCCATTGAATTAAGTTACATCCGTAATTCTAAAAACACCCGGTATAACCGGGAGCCAAAAGCAGCGGCGCAATGTTATCGAACGCGAATGATAACGGTCATCGCAAAGTGGGCGCGTGCGGCTCACGGTGAAAGCTCGCGAACGCGTGCCGACAATGTCGCGCGACGACGAACGACGACAGACACGCAATTAAAGAAAAGTTCACGGCGACGGTGCGAGTTTCGGCTCGACGGGATCCCCCTTTCCCCGCCGCTTCGCCCCACGCCCAGGGAGCGCGGTCAATGGTCGACGATTCCGCGCAGAATTGAATATATCCGAAGTTAATCGCGCTCATAACGGTATACACCTGAACCCGAAGGCAACGGTCAATCGTCTTAGCCTCTGCGAACGCTCGGAGAGCGGTTTATTGCTCTTTTACTTTCCTTGTCGTTGGTTGCTCTCATTTTCACGGTTCGCTGTCGGACTGTTCATTGACAACAGTTCGGCAAGCCGACGTGAACATCAGGCAACGTCTCTCGAACCGCTCGACGATTGAGAATTATTGCCGAGGTTAAATCGCAGATTCGATACGAATATCTCTCTCGATGCGCGTCCTAACCGCAGGCTCAACGATCGTGACGGAATCGACCGCGAATGCAGAAGAATCGAAACGCGATTGTTGGTCGAAGATATTAACAAATGGAAACGAGAATCAATTTGTCGACGAGAGATAGCGTACCTCGAATTATCGAAATTTTGATCGTCGCTGCATCTACAACGAGTAACGTTTCGCTTACTTTCTCTGGAAATATTCACGGATAACAAGCGAATACGTGTTTTGACGGAACGATATGCGTTCACCAGATGTTATGATGCTGGTAATTCGACGAGTTTAGATACTCGGTGTACAAAGTTGAAAATGTTTTATTGGCTCTTGGTGGTGATTACTTTGTTAAGCGTGAATGGAGGTTGGAAAAGGGGCAGATACATATTATTGGGTTGACAAGAAAAATGGAAATTTTCAAATCTACATTTCCGGAGCATTTGCGTGTTTATATGACGAAAACAATACTTTGGAACGAAAGTGTATTGTAATAATATATTGCCAGTAATAAATGAAACACGATAGATAATAATATGAATATTAATTTATTTATCTCGGTAAAACATAAGAAATTACTATGGAAACGTTGGTTAAGTGCAAGCGCTTTTCACGCGAAAGTTAAGCTTATTGATACTTTCTGTTTACAGTCCCTGTTGCGAGAACATCTCTAACCATGACACAAACACTATTTAATCTAAAAAGTTCTGTAAACTATAATGCGAATTAACACAAGAAAACGAATTATCACATTCGATAAGAATAATCTTTATTAAATTGTTTGGAAATTGACGACAATGAGTAGCTAAAGGTCAATGGCGTTCGTTTGTTTATTATGGTGGACACTCCAGTAGGTGTATCTGCTCGAATGTCAAACAGCATACAGGACCCCTAAGGCTGTTCTCTTTTACGAGAAATATTGGGGGAATATATTTTTTTTTTAATTCACTTACCTATTTCAGAGCAGGATCCCAATTGTTCTTCGAGTAATCCGCGTTCGGTAGGATATTTAATAAATCGTACAGCACATTTTAACACACGCCGGGACACACTGTGCGCAGCAAGAGTCAACGAAATGCACCACGAGCAGACTGACAGTTACCACGGGTTGTTCATTATTGGAAAATCTGCCTCAGAGGCTGCTCTTGCGCAGCCGGCGCGATACTACCGACTTCCTCCCCTCTATCAGCCGACGCCATTTGTACCAACAATCCTTCCCTCTAGCTTTCATGTTGTTCATATCCGTATCGAAAAAATGTAGGGCCCCGTCCCTGCATAAACAGTTCAATACTTATAACGATGGTAAATACAAAATAAAATGTGTATTAGAACAACATTAGAAAACATGAATTTTTGATATTTAATAATAAATGTTATATCATGAATTTTGTATGTAGAATTGTTACACAAAAACTCATTTGTGATACTTGTCGTCGAGACCTATGTATAATTTTTGTATTATTGAAGGATAGGTCATTGTTATTGGGTGCAAACAACACTTTGATAAAAAGTGATATATCAATATCTGCAACTGTGTGTTTGTTTCATAAACCTAATAAAGGTGTAAATATCCTTCACTGTATAGAGATTGCAAAACTTATCTAGAACTTTGTAAAAACAACGCTGGTAACTATCGAGATATGAAACTTGTGATGCAGTAAACCCGTCTAGAAAGTGAGTAGTCTGTGGAAACAGACAACCTCACGGAGGTTGGCTGAATTTTCGCAAAGTGAATTTCACTTGAACATTAGATATTATTTTCCTTGCCTTACCCTTGGGTGATGAGAGATTCGCGTTATTGTTAAGTCGCGCATCCTACAGTGAAACGGTTTACAGTACATTATTTGGTGTTACTCGCTATTCTTTAGAAAAATATACAGCGCTTCACAAAAATAAGATATCATGGCGGTACCCACTACCGGTGTAGGTAAGTATTTTATGACTGTTTTACGAGCTAAAGATGCGATCGACAAACAGATATGTTATTGCTTAAAGGCTGTTGATTTTTTCATGTGATACATGAAATAAATCACACACCAAATTTTAAGGCGAAAACTACATTTGTGCAATTTTTACGAATTATAAGATATGTTATATTTCTTTCATAAGTTATCACGCATAGTAAACGTGTCTAAATGCTATCAGAAGTTCATCAATTTAAAAAAAAAATTATTTTATTGTTTTAAAGTTGCTCGTTATAAAATTTACGCAAAATTAAGAGAGGAGCATAAGAATTCTGATATACAGTAGGTTACACCATGCTTAAAGTCACAGATTCATAACCTCTACTTGTACCAACTTTTTTTTTATTAACAATAGCCTGTAGACAGTAGACTTGCTTACAGGCTGTCACGCGATAATCATAATTTCTCATTTCTAGTTGTGCCTCGAAACTTTCGTTTATTAGAGGAATTAGAACAAGGTCAAAAGGGTGTAGGTGATGGTACAATCAGTTGGGGCTTGGAAAATGATGATGACATGACTCTTACACATTGGACTGGAATGATAATTGGACCACCTAGAGTAATTTGCTCTCGAACTTTTAATTTTAATTAAATTTATATACAATTATTATCTTTTACATAAATTATTATTGTAAAAATGAAATGAATTTTTAAAACGTATAGTTTGACTAGTATTGAATTTTTATAATATTAAACTTACTTAATTATTTCATATCATTATTTTAGACGCCATATGAGAATAGGATGTATAGTTTGAAAATTGATTGTGGTCAAAGATATCCAGATGATGCCCCTAATGTAAGATTTTTAAGCAGGATTAACATGAATTGTATCAACAGTACTACTGGCGCTGTAAGTATTTTATATTTCTTTGGTTCATTAGTGATAGAAAGAAATTTCATAAACATTAAATTTTATAGGTTGATAATCGCAGTGTACCAGTACTTGCAAAGTGGCAACGGGAATACACAATTAAGACAGTTCTGCAAGAACTTCGTCGTTTGATGACACTGAAAGAAAATATGAAACTGTCTCAGCCTCCAGAGGGTAGCACCTTTTAGCCTAACCACATGTAAACTCAACACCTCTTCCTTTCTGTGGTAGCATGAGGCGAAATTTGATCAAGGTACCAAATAATATTAAATGGGTACCTAATAAAGAC